ATCACATTTTCCAATTAGTAACCACTACTTTCGGCTCCGTTTCCAGAAGAGCCGTTCGTAAATTACGTAACGCGCTAGAGCACTGTCGTCTTAAGACGTCGCCGTATGAGCCTTCAGACGTTGCCAAGTTTCCTCCGATAAAAACCAAATTTACTGGGAAAATGGAGATGTTGCATGTGAGAGGAATTTGCGATTGGACTGTTGATTCTTGTGTAAAAGTTCGCGAGAAACACGATGGTGCCACCGGTTTTCTCTGAAATCAACTCCCAAGCTCAAAAAAGGCTCTCGAGATGAGCCCAAAATGGAGGGGATATCCCATGCTATCCCGAGAGTCCACCTCTACATCAAGACAAACTCTCCATGCAAAGATAGGGAGCAAATACGTTAGAAGGGTTGCCGTGTTTTCAGTTTTGGAGTCCCCAAATAAAGTGGCAGCCCTGTCAATGTATTTGCTCCCTGTCTTTGCACGGAGAGTTTGTCTTGATGTAGAGGTGGACTCTCAGGGTAGGGTGGGATATCCCCTCCATTTTGACCTCAATTTGAGAGCTTTTTTTTGAGCTTGGGAGTTGATTTCAGGGAAAACCAGTGGCATCATCGTGTTTCTCGCAAACTTTTACATAATAATCAACAGTCAAATCGCAAATTCTTCACACTCGCAACATCTCCATTGTGAATATTATTTTCCACAATTTTCAGATAATTTTGTACGCAATTTAATCTAAATTATCTGAAAATTTTGAGGGAAAATGTGCATGAATGATGTCAAAAATACATGTTTTATCAAGGGAAATTAGGCAACTCTCGAATGTTCATACGGCGTTGTTCCTTAGCACGGCAGACTAGTGCGTTAGTTTCCTTGCGCGGGTGGGTGCTCTGATGGATGAGCCAGAATTGGGCGGCGCATTTGAAGGAGGGCGTAACCGTCAAAATCAAGTTTCGAAAAACATGTAAATACTTGATTTTTCAGAAATTCTACAAAGTTCTCTTCGTAAAAATCAAGCGATGTTGCACATGGCATCTGCTCCGCGAAGTAATTGGACAAGGAATAAAGACATTTCAAAACTTTGGAGGATATGCCCTTTTCCCATAGAACCGCTATGTCATGCCTAGAGTCCCTTTATACTGATAGTTAAGACAACCCCCCTCATGGAGTAACCGACGGGAATAAAGATTACACAAATTGAAAGTTTTTCGTAATCTTTGATCGGCCCATTCTCAAATTCTTTTCTCCGTTCCTTCTCTCATTCCGTTTGTTCCTTGCCGAACCTGTAATTCCCCGGTACATTCCAGTTTATAACCTTTGCAATCGGTGAACACGTAATCTTTATTCCCGTTTGTGACACTGTTGAGGCCTAAAATACGGTAACCAATCAGAAATGGATTCACATTGTCTTAACTCTCAGTATAAAGGGACTCAAGTTATGCCGTTATCAGCGGTGTTATGGCTGTCGAGCAGCATGCCTATTTGGTGAAAATATTAAAATTCATAATTTGTGCGCTTACTCGTGGTTTTCGTCATTGCGATGCGAGGTGCACCCTGCGCCGGGAAAAGTGGCTTGGAGATCGCACCCTTTCCCCACCAAAGCAGATATTCAAATGTTAAAAAAGACGTTCAGAAAGCAACTTTAGTGACATCGCTCGAATGTAAGATGAATTCATTATATGAGAATAGTATTTCGTCAAAAACTCTGTTTCTGAAAATTTGGCGGTTACGCTCGCCTACAAACAGCCCCCTAATTAGTAGTTCCTTATTGAAAAATATGGTCCGGTTGCAAGTGCAGAGCAGCTAGAAAATGAATTAAAAGCGTTAACATGGTTGATGAAATATGGACTTTTTACAGAGGGTTAACGGAGGAAAGTGCTGATTACTCTGCCCAATATGATAAAAATCGTCGCTCCTCTGACGTAACAGCGCACAGTGGATCGAGTCGATCGAAGAGGTCGGACAAAATTTTGAGACTTTAAACGCTTATAACTCCGTTTATACAAATCTTTGAGGTCCTAAAAGTGGTCCCATTGACTTTTTCGTGCAATTTGCTGCTGGAGGCACCCCTTAAAATTTAAAATGTGATGAAATAAACATCAAAATTTGAAATTTTAGTAAAAAAGTTCATGTGAGACCTCTCTAATTGACTCGATCTACTGTGCGGCGTACCTGCATTTCCACACGGGCCCCGGAAAGCGTGGGTTTATATACATACAGGGTGTCCCAAAAGTCCGTACCCCCCCTCGTAACTTTTGAACGGTTAGAGATAGAAAAACGAAACTTTAGGAATGTTTCTATCTTAAAGGGGCCCATCTTCTAGGGGGGTCAAAATTTTTGTCCCCCCCTCAGGGAGAGCGCGGGGGCCCCCAACTTTTTTTTTTCAAATGGTAACCCCTATCTTGTGATACATCATTGGAAAGAGCATAAAAAACTAATAATTTTGGCGCAAACCGCAAATCAATATCTTAATTTTTGACCGAGTTATGATAGGTCAAAGGTCATATTTGACCTATTTTCAAAAAATCATATCTCCGGTTTTAATTATCGTAAAGAAAAAAATAAAACGGGAATATTTACCAAATTGTAAGCACTTTCAAGTAAAAATCACAGAAATTACTTTAAACTAATTTTAAGGGGGGTTTCGGACCCCCAAATACGTCATTTTAAAGGTCATACGATATTCTCGCGAAATGAGCCAATTTCTCCTTACTTTTCCTCAACATTATCTTAGTAAGTTCAAAATTAGTTCAAAATTGCGTTTTCAAGTCCCCAAATTTCGAACAAAGTTTTAAAAAAAATTAAATTTAAATGGTTGAATTGAATTGCCTTAAATTTCGTTTTGTGAACTTTGTTCGAAATTTGGGGACTTGAAAACGCAATTTTGAACTAATTTTGAACTTACTAAGATAATGTTGAGGAAAAGTAAGGAGAAATTGGCTCATTTCGCGAGAATATCGTATGACCTTTAAAATGACGTATTTGGGGGTCCGAAACCCCCCTTAAAATTAGTTTGAAGTAATTTCTGTGATTTTTACTTGAAAGTGCTTACAATTTGGTAAATATTCCCGTTTTTTTTTTTCTTTACGATAATTTGAACCGGAGATATGATTTTTTGAAAATAGGTCAAATTTGACCTTTGACCTATCATAACTCGGTCAAAAATTAAGATATTGATTTGCGGTTTGCGCCAAAATTATTAGTTTTTTATGCTCTTTCCAATGATGTATCACAAGATAGGGGTTACCATTTGAAAAAAAAAAAGTTGGGGGCCCCCGCGCTCTCCCTGAGGGGGGGACAAAAATTTTGACCCCCCCAGAAGATGGGCCCCTTTAAGATAGAAACATTCCTAAAGTTTCGTTTTTCTATCTCTAACCGTTCAAAAGTTACGAGGGGGGGTACGGACTTTTGGGACACCCTGTATATGGACGTATTTATGCTAAAAGTAACTATGTTCCTCGCAAAGCCTATGCACATAGTTCCTTTTAGAATAAATACGTCCATATGGAGGACAAGACTCACTTGGAAATCGAAACACGCCCTAACGTCAGAGCAGCGGCGATTTTGCAAGTTGACTCTTCTGTTTTCGCCCGCTTCAAATCCATTGAAAATATCGATATTCGGCGAGGCAAGTTGCCTCACCAAGAATCGATTCTCTTACATACATTCAAATCGAGGCAAACCAGAATTGCCAAATTTCATTGAAAATATTTAATAAACCCTCCTTGATGACTTTTCCAGAGCTCATTCAGTTAGACGAAGCGCTCGAAGTGGAAAACGTCTTGGTGCTCTGCTCTGTCGTGAAGAACAGGCGGTTTGGCCTAAACACTCCTTCATACCTATGTGTAGGCAACCTTGCAGTACGTACCATGAGTCGTACTGCCCAAAGTCATGGTTATTTCCATAAATCGCATGGGATTGCCTCGCGATTCAAGGATGGTCCGAGGGACAGGATTCGGGATTCGCACCCCGAGAGATTGGGGTAAGAGCAAACTCATTTTTAGACAACACCTTGGAAAGGGTGACCCCCCCCCTCCCCCCTTAAAACCTGCATTAAAATGCGACAGATGTAGAGTGTGAAACTTCCTGAAGGAGTGTAAGAATAAGACACGCTTATGATGACAGGGAAAGTTGAGTGTCATTAAAAAGGAAAATGCAGAGATTTACATGAATGGAGAGTTTTGTTAAGATTAAGCACCTTTGCGATTTTATAATACCTTTAAGTACGTCCTTAGCTTTAAACAACATATTCAAGGAACTTTCTCTGGAAAATTGGAAAATTGTCTCGACTCTGATGATCGATAAGGAGACGTCGAAGTCGAATGCCTTTATATTTTTCTTTGGACTGGCCTTCAATATGTTGTGAGAGAGTGTCTTCTGAGGCAGTTTATTTATTTATTATTTATTTTATTTTTTATTTTTTTTTTTTTGGTAGAAAAAAAAATATGAATTTAATGAATTGTGCGCTCATTCAAAACCGTAAGTTGGTGTTGACCCGAAAAATCGCAGGTAAATGAAGAAGTCGATTAAAACTTCTTAAAAAAATTGTCTCTGATGAACCTGCTCAATTGTTTTTCTTCTTTTAAATGGGCGAATTATTTTCACCTTAAGTAAACTTGGAGTAAAAGTTTCACCTTCTTCTGTTTTTTGTATAAATGTCATTGAAGACAGAATTATATACATTTTCTTTGACTTAGGAAAAATTCCTTCGACGAAAATAATGTTGAGTCGACTGATATTCCTTGAATGCAAACCGATTGGATTTAAACTGGAAAGGCGGTTAACAACAATTCCTTTGACAGAAAGACTCAAAAATGACTCAAAATTTGACTTGAATCGTCCCTGAGAATGGTTCTTTTACCCTGATTCTGTAGTGGACAGGAAACCAAGCCGAAGCCCAAAACAGATTGAAACGTTAAACTGTGATGTTAGTCTCACGGACACACAAACACCAACACAAAACGGGAAAACCAATAAAAAAACGGAGTTGAATGGAGGTTGCGCGGCTGATACATACCTGCCACTGGTCCGGAGGATGTGGAGGCGCAGAGCCAAGCTTGCGACGATTCGAGCTTTTTCGCCTGAAACAGAAAGAGAAAAAAATGTCATACACATTCAGGCATAATATTCTCTTTTCGTCTGTTTTCACCATACTGTAAGCCAGGTGTCCACTAAAACAGGCTGCCCAAAAATCAGTACTTTTACAGTACTTTTCCAGTATATTCCCAAGAAATTCAGTACCGTCTCAACGGAAAAATTCAGTACTTTTTCGGGACTTTCATTCGATGAAATTCGAAATGTCAAAAATTTGAATTTTTTCATCTAATTCTGACAAAAATGACAAAACAATGAGTAAAATTCCGAGCTCTCTTGAGGAATTTTCGCACTTTTTCAGTACTTCCGGACCGCTCTTAAAAAATCAGTGCTATTTCTGGACTTTCCGGAAATTCCGGACTTGTAGACATCCTGTGAGCACTACACGCTTAAATAGAGAATTTGCAGATGTCTTGAATTTTGTGATTTTATCTTTAAAGTGATACCACTAGGAAAACTGAGCGCGAGGATATCCTTGGCATCAAAATTGGACAATTATTACAGAAAATATGACAAAATAACCTAATCTGCTAGAATACATGTGTTTAAATGAAAAATGCCGCCACATGACGTCATAAGTAGGCAAATTTTCTCACTTTTAAATCTATTTTTCTCCAATTTCTCATGTGAGAAAAAAATTGTGAAAAATACGGCGAAATCAGCTCATTAGGCACTCTCAGATGAAGCAATAAACTTTTTGTGTGCAAATTCTCCGTTCTGAAACACCTTATTAGAAATATCCAACATATTATCACCGTGTTTTTCGCAATATTCCCCGAATTAGTTTGAAAAACGTTTTAAAAAAAAGAGTATCTCGATGTCCAAAGTGCGAAACCGCGTATCTCCGTTGGCAACGTTGGAGACTTCCTGTCATACTTCATGTTTGTTAAGGAAAACTAGTCAACGTACTTTCTTGGAGACTTCCTTGACATTTCTTCTCTGTTGGAGGCATATTCTGTCAAAAATTCGTGCAATTTAAGTTGGCTTGTTTCTCCTCTACGAAATAAAATAGGAGCGGAAATTTTGAAACATCGCAAAGGAGATACGTGGTTTTGCACTTTGGCCATCGCCTTCAGGGCATCAACTTAAAGCTTCACAATAGTTTCTGTAGGATGCTTCAACAAAAAAATGTATCAAGAGAGGTAATACTTCGTAAATAAGTTGAAAACATCAACGTTTAACCGGAACAAAATTAAGATACCTCATGGTCTCTTTTCTCTTTCTCTCAGAATATGAGAGGATAAGGCAGGGATTTCTGCACAATTTCTAGAAAATTCATCGATTTCGTTTATCTAGTGAATCAACCAAGAGCACCAATTTCAACAAGAAACTGATATGGAGGTAGTAAGAACATTAATTATCGGTTTTAACAAGAATGGAGGATTCGCATGCAAATTTTTTATTGCTTCATCTGAAAGTAATTAAAGAGCTGATTTCACGTATTTTAGCGGATTAGATCATTTTCTCATATCTTCTACAAGAATTGTTCAATTCATGAACCAATTAAGGGTATCCTCGTGTTCAGTTCACTCAGTTCCACTTAAACACGAGATTCATCAAATTTCAGACACCTGTAAATTATCTGTGCTAAAGAAAATTCCCGGAAATGGTTCGTTCCGGGCTGAATCCCAAAACATTCCAAGGATTTCTACGTTTTGAACAATACGGATTAGAGCGAAGTGAGAACAAACTTTCAAAAAGCAGAGACAGAAACACGAGGAAAGCCTGGAATCGTAGGCGTAAGATAGGCGGGCTGCGTCACATCATTTTGAAGGCGTTTTAACCTGTTTCTCCGACGGGGGCTGCTTGAGACAACCGAGACAAGGCAGTAGCAGAGGCGGTAGAGAAAAGACGGGAGAAAGGTTAAACAGAAGAAAAGGAAAAGAAGATATTGAGGAAGAAAAAGAAGAGGAAGAGAAAGAAGAGGATGAAAGAGGAATCACCGGCTATCGATGAATCTCCGTTAGAAGCCATGATAAAGAGTAGGTTCTGAAGTTAACTCGTGACAATCGATCTTTTTCCATTCGTGTTAACGCTGGATCAATCGATTAATCGCAAAGCGGGCCACCGTTGACCAGTGACCGCGCCGACGCCGCTTAAATTCTGAAATAAGCTCATTACCCCGGCAGAAATGATAACCTGCATAGCGTTTCGCCCGCCATTATATTCCGCCATATATTCATAACCTCATTGCCAGCGCCCCCCCCCTCCCCCTCCCACGGCACCGGTCACAGCTCTCGTTTCCTTTTCCCGATCCCCCGTCCCCCGAGTCCGCCCAACGAACGTTTGGAAAATGATCGATAAATATCGAAACAGCTGCCTCGTCTGGTATCGATTACTGGAAGGTGTGCACCCTGACCACTTCGCGGCCCTTCACTGAAAAAAATGTATGGTAGATTAAACCATTCTCTGACACAGTCATACGAGGATGGTAATATACACCAGATTCTATGCTAGTATATCTACCATATTACGGTGAGTATCACCAAAGTTTTGGGAAATACTGTTATAATTCTGGTTATCTCCACCAAATAGTAAGTATCATTGTGTAAAAAATCAAGTAGACTCATAGTAGATGTTAACATACTTTTTTTCAGTGTACCATCAAAAAGCGCTTCGATCACTCTGAATTATTCTATGTAGATCAGGCTCATCTAGGGACTATTGCATATCTAAAGCCCCAAAAATTATGAACATTGGCGGGTTAGATCTTCAGAACGAATTGCGAAAAAACCCCTAACATTTATGTCGATTAAATGAGAGTATTCACAAATTTATCATGATAAAAAAAGGGGGGGGGGAGACCTGGATCATATTTTAAAAATCGATAAAGGAGGGGCTCATTTAGAGGGTAGAACGATAAGACAAACGGTGGCAAAACGTGTGAATTTAGGGGTTCAATGAAATAATAATGAAGACTTTTTTTGGATTTGAATGGAGGTAAAACAGTGTTGTCGATTGGACGTACTTATGGTAAAAGTAACTATGTTGTACGCGATTTTGTACGCAAACCATTTGCAAATGGTTGCTTTTAGCATGAACACAACAAAATGAAGAAGGAGAAGAGGAGGTAGAAGGAAAAGACTTGGAGCTGTATCCTTTCATCTACGAAACGACGCATTTTAAAAAAATGATCAGAACTTGTTGTAAATGCGTCGAAAATTTCACGGTATCCATGGTTGTTTGACGCAAGTTTGAGACGAAAGACGAAAATTGATGAAAAAAGCCTCGGAGTGCTATATGATATAAGTAACGAATTTTTTTTAAAAAATTAAAAAAAAAAACTGAAAACTTGACAAACTTCGTATGAATTTTCGAATTATAACTAAACGGAGACATTCATCGAATAGTCAGGAAAGGAATGGAAGGGAACTTTACAAAAACCGGACGGATGTTTTTTTCTGAAGAGAATTGATCATGATGAAAATTTGAAAGTTCATTGATGCATATCCGAAACCAACCTAACCTAAGAAAGGAGTTGGTAAAATGCGTCCAATATCCGGTCGGTGATAATAACGTGCATTACGTTTGATGATCTACATCTAAGATATTCATAACCTCACAGCAAGCACTACACTCATAGCTCCGTCCGACGGAGAAACGCCATAGGAACGTTTCAAGGTTGCCAAATTTCTTCCGCAAAAATTATGACCTTCGACAAAATGTATATCTATATTCCCATGCTGAAATTTTCAAACGTAAGCGGGCAGCGTTGGTATAGAATGGAGATATTTCATGTGTGAGGAATTTGCGATTTGACTATTGATTTTTATGTAAAAAATCACGAGATACACCGGATACACGATGGTCCCACTGATTTGCTCTAGAATCAACTCCGAAGCTCAAAAAACGCGCGCAAAGTTGAGGCAGTAATGGAGGGAATATCCCGCGCTATCCTGAGAGTCCACCTTTACACCAAGACAAACTTTTCATGCAAAAATAGGGTGCAAATACATTAGCAGGGTTGCCATGTTTTCAGTTTTAGAGTCCCCAAATAAAGTGACAGCCCTGTCAATGTATTTGCTCCCTATCTTAGCATGGAGAGTTTGTCTTGATGCAGAGGTGGACTCTCAGGAAAGCGTGGGATATCCCCTCTATTACGCCCTCAACTTTTTAGGGCTTGGGAGTTGATTTCAGGGAAAACCAGTGGCACTACCGTGTTTCTCGCGAACTTTTACATTAGAATCAATAGTCAAATCGCAAATTCCTCACACATGCAACATCTTCATTCCGACACAAATTCAAAGAAAAACACGGCTGCATTTTCAGAAAATTCGCGTTTAACAAGTATAGATTTGGCAACGTTCTATAATTTATACACGGGGGGAGGGGGGCGTTGTTTTTCACATTCCACATCGGGAGGCCGCGTTTGGTTTTTCTTACCTTCATTTCCGGTTGATTGTTTTGGTATAATATCGGCATTAGGCCGGGGCCGGGTATTTATTTAGAATTGGTGCCCTCCCCCTTCCCCTGGCCTAGCTGTCCCCCTGCATTGTCTTGACTATGCTCGGCTCGGAGTACATGCAAATAAGGCCCCGTTAAGGCACCTTCCCAGGTTGCCACGTGTGCACACAAATGCAAAAGTTGCTACAAATAAGAATATCGCATCGTAACATAAACAAGGGGAGAGTTTCCGCGTGTCTGAAATTTGATGAATTTCGTGTTTGAGTGGAAACTACTGAGTGAACTGAATACGAGGATGCCCTTGGTTCATAAATAAAATAATTATAGGAGACAATCTGACAAAATGATCTAATCTGCTAGAATATATGTGTTCTAATGGGAAACGCCGCCAGATGACGTTGCTAGGCGATGCATTTTTTCACTTTTAAATCTATGTTAATATTATTTCCCTTGCCAGAAAAAAATTCTGCGAAATCAGCTCTATAAGTGCTCTTACACAAGCAACAATAGATTTGTGTGCGAATTCTCGATTGGAACTGCAGCCACGTAGTGAGCGTGGATCTAAGGGCTCATTTCAGAAGCT